CCGCCTTCGCTGCTCCTCGGCCGCCGCCGCCGCCTTGTTTATCTCCAGCCACCGACTCCCCCTCAGTCTCCGCCGGCGCGTAAGGGGAGGCAAGCCCCGGAGCCGCCGCCGCCGCCTCGGAGCCGCCGCCGCCGCGGAGCGCGAACTCGCGAAGGGGGGGGTGCGGACGAAGCCAGCGGGCGACCCCGGCAGCCGAGCGACGTCCCCTCCTTCCTCTTCCTCCCCCACCCCCCCCTCCTCCCCAGTAAGCCTCGCTTCTCCTCCCTCCCTGGGCTCGCTTGCTCTGACAGCAATGGCGGCCGCCGCCCGCGGCTTGGCCCGCCATTGGCTAGCTCCACGTCACGTGACGGGCGCCGGCCGCGCTGGGGGGGGCGAGGGCGGGCGGGGGAGGGGCCGAGAGCGGCGGCGGCGGCTCGCGGGAGGCGCTGCTGAGCCGAGCGCGGCCGGGTTCTCTGGCCGGGAAGAGGGGGAGAGACGCGGAGGGAGAGAAAGAAGTGCGGGCGGCCCGGTCCTTCTGTGAGCTGCGAGCTGCCGGGCCCAGTCCTCCGGGGGTGCCCCCTGGGCGCCGCGCCGCGCCCCGCCCCTTCACGGGGCTCAGATCCTTTCCGAGTGCCCGGAAGGTTTCAGGGCGCGACCACCGGCCTCGGCGACGCCCGCGGCGACCGCAGCAGAGGGCGCGGGCCCCTGCCTGCTGCCCCTGAGCCAGCTGCGTGGCCGAGGCTCGCTGTGGGCCAGGCAGCAGGTCCAAGTGCCCCGGGGAGCGTCGCGTCTCGTCGCAGCCTCACTCGCTAGGAGGTGGGTCCTGCGTTCTCATCTCCTTTTCACAGACGAGCAAACTGAAGCACAAAGAGATTAAGTCACTTGCCCGAGGTCGCACTGTTGGGAGGAGGAGATGCCGGGATTTGAACCCATGAACCCACGAACGCTGAAGCCACGCTTTTGTACTATTCTCTGCACGCCTCGCCTGGAATAGTCACAGCTACCATGTATGAGCGCTTACTGTGAACCATGCACCTTGCGTTTATTTCATAAAGAAATACGTTTTGAGTCCTTACTCCTAAGCACTGTGTGCCTGCCTCCATTCATTCATTCATCATTGCACAAATGTTCCTGAGCTCTTGCTGTGATATTTTTACACTGTGTGCCAGGCACTATGCCCTCCCTTGGCTCCTTTAGTAAGCAGCATTTCATGAGAGTCTATGACCCTGAAGCGTACCTGTATAAAAGTCTATCCCAGCCCTCAAGGCACTTCTCCCTGCAAAGATGGAAGAACAACTTCACTAATATGCCCCCAACGTGGAAGAGCCAGATGTTTCAGGTAGATAGAGTAAAAGAGAGAAAGGGTAGAAAAACGGGAGAGATGGTTGAGTGAAAGGATTCTCAGATACATGAATGGAGCTTTGGAAATACCAGGTATCAGGAACAGCACATTATGATATATCTGATCATGGCAGACACTGTTAGAACCAGGGTACACACACTATTTGCCTTAATCCTCAGACAACCACTTAATGTAGATAGGTACTGTTATACTTTACTGTAATTGGCCAGGCTCGGAGGAGTGCAATGACATGTCCAAGGTCTCACAGTGAGTGTGTGGCAGAACTGAGTTCAAACCCAGAGCCCATGCATGAATCCAGGAGGCTCCAGGAGAAGGTACCAGACCAGAAACTAGGTGACTTCTGGCCCAGAGCTGCCTTTGCCATGTCTGGTTGTGTTACCTTGACCAAGACAGTTAACTAACTTTTTGAGCCTCATTTTCTAATCTGTCCAAATGCCCCCACCGCCCACTCAGGCCAATGCTGTAAATATCTAAGGAGACTTGGTGGCACAGGTTAAGTGCTCAGCTGCAAACTGAAAGATTGGCAGTTTGAACCCACAGCACTTCTGCAGGGGCAGGGGCGGGGCGAGCTGATGACGTGCTACAGTAAAGATTAAAAACCAAACCCACTACCACTGAGTAGATCGAAGGCATAGCCACCCTATAGAACAGGGTAGAACTGCCCCATAGGGTGTCAAAGGCTGTAAATCTTTACGGAAGCAGATTGCATCATCCTTCTCCCCAGGAGCAGCTGGTGGGTTTGAACCTTTCGGTTAGCTGAACGCCTTAACCACTGCGCCACCAGAGTTCCTTCCGTAAAGATTACAGCCTTGGAAACCCTATGGGGCAGTGCTACTCTGTACTATAGGATCACTGTGAGTCGGAATCAACTGAATAAATCAACTACAATAGGTTTAGTTTGGTTATTAAGATACCATTTATTAAAGTGTTTAGAAAACAAAGGAGCTTTGGTAACATAGTGCCTAAGGCACTTGACTGCTAACAAGAAGGCTGGTGGTTCAAACCCACCAGACACTCCTCAGAAGGAAGGTTGGGCAATGTACTTCCATAGTGATACTGCCTTGGAAACCCAAGGAGAGGTTGCTATGAGTCGGGTCCAACTCGATGGCACATAATAACAACAGAAAAAAAAAGCTAGAGCACTTTATCAACATGCATAGTGTTACTTAGGCCCGAGCAGAAATCATGGCTATCCGTCGGATTCCAACGTCCAAATTTCATGTATTTCTATCTCTGGTGGGCTTCATCCTACACACCCAGGCACCAACTCACATTCTTCAGCAAGTTTAGGACAAAACAACATTAACGACAACCTTCCAGAGCAAAACTGAGTAGAAAAATGAGCAAAGGACATGGACAGTTTGCAGAATAGGAAACACATATGGCTTTGAAATATTGAAAAAGATGCTTCACTTCACTCATCAGAAGAAAAACAATTAAAACCAGAATAAGTAATGATGCTATTTTTAAAGGTTAGGCAAATATGGATGGATGCAGGGGTCTCATACGTCGTCAGTGGGAATAGAAATGGGCTGTGTAGCTTTCTGTGTCAATTTGGTGAATATCAAAACTGAAAACTGAACAGACCCTGTTGGCCCAGCAATTCCACTTCCGGGAGCCTCCTGGTGCAGATTCACAAAGACCTGTCGTGCCAGGACGTGAACCATATTTAGCACTGTTTGTACAGCAAAAACTGGAAAACACCTACCTGTTCCTCATTTGGAGAGTACTTAATATAATGTGATCCCATGGAGTCACTAAAAATGATGCGTTCGCGATATATGTACCAAAGAAGAAAAATCTCCTTAGGGACACTGAGCTGCTGTGACAGCTGGTGGCTGAACAACATGACGTTGTTGTAAAGCTAAAAACCAAACCCACTACCATCAAGTAAAGGAGCTCTGGTAGCATAGTGGTTAAAGCACTTGACTACTAACCAGAAGGTTGGCGGTTCAAACCCACCAGCCACTCCTCGGAAGGAAGGTTGGGCAATCCTACTTCCGTAGTGATACTGCCTCGGAAACCCAAGGAGGGGTCGCTATGAGTCAGGGCCGATTCGACGGCACATAACAACAACAACAACAAGCGACACTATAGGTCAGAGTAGACAGAACTGCCCCACAGGGTTTCCAAGGCTGTTAATCTGTATGAAAGCAGACTGACTCATCTTTCTCCCACCAAGCAGCTGCTGGGTTCAAACTGCTGACCTTTTGGTTAGCAGCCCGATGCTTTAACCACAACACCACCAAAGCTCCTGTTGTTGTTGATAGGTGTCGCCGAGTCAATTTTCAACTCATAGAAACCTTATGTGATAAAGTAGAGCTGCCCCAGAGGGGTTTGTAGGCTGTAATCTTGACAGGAGCAGATTCCCAAGTCTTTCACCTATGGAGTCACTGGATGGTTCAAACCACCAACCTTTCAGTTAGTAGCCAAGCACTTAACCATTGCACCCCCCAAAAAAAGAAACACCCAAAAACCAAACTCACTGCTGTCTAGTTGCATCTGACTCATAGTGACCCCTCCTTGGGTTTCCAAGGCGGTTTTTCTATGGAAGTAGATTGCCCAACCTTCCTTCCGAGGAGTGGCTGGTGGGTTTGAACTGCCAGCCTTCTGGCTAGCAATCAAGTGCACCACTAGGGCTCCTTAAACAACATGATAAACATAGTTAATGTCACTGAACTCTGCATGGGAAGATTGATGAAATATCAAATGTTTTGTTACATATATTTTTACCACAACAAAGGAAAGAGTAATCTCAAAAATACGTTATTAATAGTGGTATCTTGGGAAGATTGCACAAAGCATGAATAACATCAGTTGTCTCTCAAGAGGGGTGTTGGAAGATTGGGAGACAAGGTGAGTGGAATTACTCTGCACTCTACAGTTTGCTTTGTTTATTTATTTTTAATCACCAAAGGCATAAAAACCTATTCAAGGCAGCAAGTTTTAAACAACAACAATAATTAAATAAATTGGAAAGGGGAATAATCGAGCAATGGCAGCATCAAAGCAAACACAGCGGCAAACAAATCAGACACCAATAGTAGAACCCACGCGAGAGTTCCCTGGCTGTCAAAGCCAAGGGCCCAAAGTGGAAGAGGAAAGAACAGGAGGGCTGAGCGTGGTTACCCTGGCAACATGAATACTGAAAGAGAACCCAGGGGAACCGGGTTCTAGTCCCTGGTGTACCACTGAACAGTTATATGCTCTGGGACAGGCCACCTGTCCTCTCTGGGCCTCAGTTTCCACATAT